AAATGGCATGCGTTTTTACTTCAAAACTACAAGTAAAATTGTCGTCACAATTTTATTCTTGATCTAGCATAACCAGAGAAAAAACGTTCCGTGAATTCTATCGAAATATCCCTTATCTAAACCCATTTCGCTTGTTAACCTCTCTAAATTCGGAGCCTTGGACGTGACAGAGAAGATGGAGAAAGTCACGCGTTAAAAACAATAGAATTTTGACAGTTGAAAGTAATTTGCATAACCTCAGAGCGCACATGGAGAAAGTCACGCGTTAAAAACAATAGAATTTTGACAGTTGAAAGTAATTTGCATAATCTCAGAGCGCATGCTCTCCAGCTGACATGGCCCCTTTAAGTATTAACTGGAAAAGGCCGTAATTGCAAACCACAGAGTTAAATTGTAAGCTGATATAATGAACCCTGATGCGTTGTAAAACAAAACACTTGGCTCGCGCTTGCAAAACAACCGGATGCCGACCGTTCTAGAGTGTTATCACCGCAGACACTTTTTTTTCACCGAAAACCGCGACTTAAAGGTTGTAATAACCGCAAACCGCTTAGTGTTTTGAAACCGCAATACCGCGAGTTAAAATAAAAATTACCGCAAAACCGCACCAAAAATAACGCAAAACCGCATCACCGCAAACCCTTACGCCCCCCTCTCTAAAGGGTAAGTTTTAGTTCGACTCTTGATAAAAAGCCTTACTGAGAGCTAGAAAAACTATTTGTTTTCTTTTGCGACCACTAGTTAAGTAAGAATTCAATGGACTGTTGTTTTCATTCGAAATATTTCTTTATCACGAACCTCATTAATCAGCCGACCATTCACTAAAAATCGTAGTTTTAACAACTTTGTCAAAAATTCCAGTTTAATACTGTTATTTGACATCAAATTTCCCGTTTTATGCTGTTAGATCCTGTTAGTTAACACCAATTTTCAGTTTTTTTTCTCATATTTTCAATCACTCTTTCATCTCCTGTCCTTCCTCTTTCAGTTAACATGACAAAACGTCTTGTTAAAACCGGAAGAAAGAGAGTCAAATTGCTCTAGCTAATATCTTTCTCTTGTCTCGTTCATTCTTAATATACAGTTTGTTCATAAAGGTTTCCTCGAAATGTCTTGGGATAGCTACATTGATAACCTCATCGCACAAAGTAAAGATTCTTCTGGCATGGCACATATTGACAGAGCCTGTATCATTGGGTTGGACGGCGGAGGCGTTTGGAATTCACCTAGCCATCCAAATGCATTAAAAGTAAGGTTGTTCGTTGGCTCAAATACGTATGAATTGTTTGAAATGTTCAAAGACAGACACGTGTTATGATTGGTCGAAATATATTTATTACTTCATCAAAAATGCACGCGCTGTTCACCACCTGCGTCAAGTTTTAAACATGAGGTCGCTCCTTTCTGTATTAGATAATGACGACATTTATGTCACATACACTGTTCTTCCTTGTCGAGATTTCATGAATTTAAATGAGTTCGATGGTATCCTTAGGCAACCATTGACCAATCATTGCTTAAATTGGCTACTTATACGACCCACAAATCTTTACGCGGAAAGCTTGTACCCATTCTCCCTATGGAGTGGCGAATTAGGTTTTACAGTCACGGAACCCGGATATAACCAAGTGCCTAGGGACTGAGAAAACTCATTCGTTATGACGGGGTTAATCACGGCCCAGTTTCACTTTAATTGGGGAAAGGGAATGTCATTCGTTATGCCGTTTCGTTACATGGCGGTTTGTTATATTGGAGTTACGTTTTAATGTAGTTGAGTAAATTAAGGAGCTATAGCAAAGACGCTTTTGAGCGACGCACGTCAGCCAGAAGTAGACTTTTCGCATTCTTGGGCAACCGTTATCCCCAAATTTTCAGACACCGTTGGCAATACTCATTTGGAAGCGTCAAGGTATATAAAAAGCGAGAATGCCTTACTTCCGGTTGACGTACGTCGCTAAAAACGTCTAGTATAAGTAACTTTATTTTGTGGTCCCAGACGTTCCTAGTGTCTTTGCTTAACCTCCTTATTGTCTCATTCTGTTCTCTCCAGCTACAAGGATCGAGTGAGGCAATTAACATAGCCAGGTGCTTTAAGAGCAAAGATTTTATGCCATTTATGACTGATGGTGTTTACGAGGAAGGAACTAGATATCAGTTCCTGCGGGTACTAGACGACAAGCTCGTTCTTGCCAAGAAAAAAGAAAGCGGAGCATTGTGCATACAAGCAACTATGACAGCGGTTGTCATCGGTCACTGTCCTGAGGGTGGCCAACAAGGAAACACAAACAAGGCAGTTGGAATAATCGGAGACTACCTGGAATCCTTGAATATGTAATAGACGAATGTCAGTTTACAAATTGCCGGCTTTGCATTCAGTTTGCTTTTATCAGTTTGCAGTGTTTCCACCTGTTTGCATACGCTTCTCATTTTCTAATACAGTTTAAAAACCTAATGACATTTTTTAAAAATGAAATTAAAGGAACGTTTGATACGTTCACAATGCCCATAATATACCCTGCCGGTTTACCCCAACCTCTTTCTATGGACTTTTCCCTAAAGAAAATGAGAGGCCCAACCCTCCCATTTTTCATGTTTCATGTGGTTCCCAGTTGATTTAGTCTTTAATAAAAAAATAAAGTTTTCTAATTCGAAGTAATTTTGCCAAATATTTATAGCCCGCTGATTGTAGATCACCCATCGCATGGAAACATGTGCACCTAGATAGTGCTTTTAAATGAAGTACTAGAGAAAATGAGAGTTTTCAGCAATAACAAATAAAAGGCTAATATTGACTTTTTCCATGGAATGTTTCATAGGCACAGAACAACAGTTGTTGGAATTGCGGGTGTTTCTTGGTGTTCCGCGAACTATTGTTGGTTCGCCTTTGTATTGTAGTCTGGGCATTTTTCAGTGTCTTTTCAATCTTTTGTGTTTCGTCCTTTGGTGATTGCAACAGTCTGCAACACCAACAAACTACCGGAATTTCCGATCTGGTACTTGTAAGATCTATCCTGCAAGTAGAACGTACCTTTTTATGATGTGTACTGGCGTATGAGAAGTAACTTTCACCGACAATTGTCCCATTTTCTATCGGCGCGTACTCAGGTCAAGGTGGATCAATTTCTCTTGACTTTCTCTTTGAATGAAGATGGGGTTACAGCCACATGTAATTACTTCGAGTTTTGATTGGTTCAATGTATTGTCTGTGTCCTATGTGATTGGCTAGAGTAATTACTTTGGTTTTGGTTTTACGACACTCAAACGAAAACCACTCTAGTCACAAATACATTGAATACAAACACATTTTACTCTTCCCTCCCCTCGGAGCTTGCAGGAATAATGCATGTTATGGTTAAATTTGACCATTGGTTTAATTTTTTTCGTTTACTTAATTAAATTCTACAAGGGATAAGTTAAACTACAACATTAAACAACAGTGTGCTGGGGAATTTGCCCGACTACTTATTGTGGGCGCAAATTTTCCGTCTGCAGTTTACATCCAAACTAGTCATAGTTGTTCTCTAGTCCTGAACGAGGGTAAACTTCAAACACCAGAGTCTGTACTTCCCTTGCTGTTTGCGGCGAAGAGCAGTGGAATATTTCTTTAACATAAACCATAGCCTGCAGGTGAAAGCAAAAAGGCCATTGACCTGACTTCACCTCCCCAATGACTCAAGTAAACTCTGATTTTGTCAGGTCTTTTAACACCATCGTTTGTGTCTGACCACGAATTTTAACTCAGAACCTGCCGATCACTGTGGAGACCAACGCTTTACAAATTGACGTACATGGGTGGCGAGTAGAAGTACTAATAAGTATTTGATTGTGTGGGAAACGCATGAGTTGACGACATTCTTTTCTCTGCTTTTGCCTTTCCTTTTTAGTGCATTATTAACATTAGTGGGATGATGCTTCCAGAAACATGGCTCCAGTTGAAAAGAAAGGACTGACATTTTACTAGAGTACCTCATGCCTGCTCTAGAAGATTTAAACTCGGTGCCTGCAGCTTGTTAGAATTTCACCAAAAGAAAAAAAAACGTAAAACTTGTCATAATCTTTAAATAAGGTTAAGTGCCAGTGTAATGTTATTAAATAAGCAACAAGTCCAGAGATGAGTAAGCAATAAAATGATTGTTAAACGAATCATCGCTTGTTTTGACTTCCGCGAGTCCGATTAATATGTTAGTACTGTAACGATACCTTATTCACAAAACATTTTTTGATAAAAGATCAAATTAAAAAATATCTTCAGTTGGACGATATTTGCCAAGTAACTTATAATTACAAAACACAGTTTAAATATATATGATTAGAGCATCGCACACTATATTCTTCCTCACATGCGAAAAGGACCGTTGTCAATGAAAAATGTCGCAGCAATCGGTGTTTCGACTAAACACATAAATTAAGTGGTTATGGTTTGGAGCTTTAAAGTACATTTCATCTAGCAAACGACGTCACGAGAATAAAGGACATATTTCAGGGGCACCCAACGAGAATATAGTTCAAAACCACTTAAACATAGCATTGTTAAACGTATTTTAGTATTTAAACAGTAGATATAAGTATATTTTTATCCCCTCAAAATTTTTCATCTGTTCAGATTTCCTAGATGAAAGTGTAGTGATCCGAAAATTATAGGGATTAAAACTTACCTTTTCAAAAATTTCAGCGAGAAAAAAGGCTCCCGAAAATTCTAGGTGACCTTTTTATGGTAAAAATCCGTTTAAAATGAACAATTGTACCATTTTTTAGATGTTCGAAAATCTTAGGAGAGGCAGGCAAGCAAGAAATTTTACAACAAATGTTCCGAAAATTCTAGATCTCAAATCGTCTTCAGAACAGATATTTTCCGAAAATTGACATTGACAGATTGCAGCCCTGTAATGCTTTCCTTTGGGATGATCCTGAACAAGATCACTGATCCGAGATCTTTCAGATCATGGTGCATCAAATGAACCGATGAATCCTTATCCAGAGAAGATTCATCGGTTCCTTTGATGTACTATGATCTTGATGATCCTGATACGAACGCACATCAAGTCAGTTCTCGAATTGATTAAGCCTGGACTCTCGTTTGCATGGTGATGTCACCAAATAACTCAATGACAATCTCGTACTCCGGCCTTGGAACTTAAGTGACAAGGAAATATTTTCAGTTTTCGTTGCGCTGTTGATAACTCTTCAGACATAATTAAACTTTGATGTAATATACATATTTATGGATCGATACTGGACGAATGCAGGAGGATATTTGCTTCTTGCCGATTGCTCAGTGATTTCGAGCTAGGATAATTTTCAAAAAGCTACAAATAGAATATTAAATTAATGACAAAGGCATAATATCTTCACAAATTTTGCAACATCATCGTACTAAGGCTTTTAACTTTAAAAAGTTTGAGGAGGAAACTACGTAATTCCGGTTCCTTAATTTAAGTACAAACTCTAGTTTCTTTGAGGAACATAAACCTCTCCGACCAGTTGCGGCTTTTATGTAACAACTGAACGTTAAGTGTCCTAAGTACAGAGTAAATATACCGAAGTTGTATTCTAAAGGGTAAGTTTCAGTTGGACTCTTGATAAAAAGCCTTACTGAAAGCTAGAAAAACTATTTGTTTTCTTTTGCGACTACTAGTTAAGTAAGAATTCAGTGGACTGTTGTTTTCATTCGAAATATTTCTTTATCACGAACCTCATTAATTAGCCGACCATTCACTAAAAATCGTACTTTTACCAACTTTGTCAAAAATTCCAGTTTAATACTGTTATTTGACATCAAATTTCCCGTTTTATGCTGTTAGATCCTGTTAGTTAACATCAATTTTCAGTTTTTTCTCGTATTTTCAATCACTCTTTCATCTCCCGTCCCTCCTCTTTCAGTTAACATGACAAAACGTCTTGTTAAAACCGGAAGAAAGAGAGTCAAATTGCTCTAGCTAATATCTTTCTCTTGTCTCGTTCATTCTTATCATACAGTTTGTTCATAAAGGTTTCCTCGAAATGTCTTGGGATAGCTACATTGATAACCTCATCGCACAAAGTAAAGATTCTTCTGGCATGGCACATATTGACAGAGCCTGTATCATTGGGTTGGACGGCGGAGGCGTTTGGAATTCACCTAGCCATCCAAAAGCATTAAAAGTAAGGTTGTTCGTTGGCTCAAATACGTATGAATTGTTTGAAATGTTCGAAGACAGACACGTGTTATGATTGGTCGAAATATGTTAATTACTTCATCAAAAATGCACGGGCTGTTCATCACCTGCGTCAAGTTTTAAACATGAGGTCGCCCCTTTCTGTATTAGATGATGAAGACATTTATGTCACATACACTGTTCTTCCTTGTCAAGATTTCATGAATTTAAATGAGCTCAATGGTATCCATAGGCAACCATTGACCAATCATTGCTTAAATTGGCTACTTATTCGATCCCAGAAATCTTCACTCGAAAGCTTGTACCCATTCTCCCTATGCTGTAGATTATGGAGTGGCGAATTAGGTTTTACAGTCACGGAACCCCGATATAACCAAGTGCCAAAGGACTGAAAAAAATCGTTCGTTATGACGGGGGTAATCACGGTCCAGCCCAATATATTTCAATTTCATTGGGGAAAGGGAATGTCATTCGTTATGCCGTTTCGTTATATGGCGGTTTGCTATATTGGAGTTACGTTTTACTGTAGTTGAGTAATTATTAGGGAGCTATAGCAAAAACGCTTTTGAGCGACGCACGTCAGCCGGAAGTTAGTCCCCCTAGCAGCCGTTTTTTTGATGTCACGCAACGCTCCCCAAATAGAGTCTTTTGTGGGAGCGTTGCGTGACATCTGAAAAACGGCTGCGAGGGAGACTAGCCAGAAGTAGACTTTTCGCATTCTTGGGCAACCGTTATCCCCAAATTTTCACGAGACACCGTTGGCAATACTCATTTGGAAGCGTCAAGGTATATAAAAAGCGAAAATGCCTCACTTCCGGTTGACGTATGTCGCTGAAAACGTCTAGTAAGTAACTTTAGTTTGTGGTCCCAGGCGTTCCTAGTGTCTTTGCTTAACCTCCTTACTGTCTTTTTCTGTTCTCTCCAGCTACAAGGAAGTGAGGGAGTTAACATAGCCAGGTGCTTAAAGAGCAAAGATTTTACTGCCTTTATGTCTAGTGGTGTTCATGCAGAAGGAACTGGATATCAGTTCCTGCGGGTGCTAGACGACAAGCTCGTTCTTGCCAAGAAAAAAGAAAGCGGAGCATTGTGCATACAAGCAACTATGACAGCGGTTGTCATCGGTCATTGTCCTGAGGGTGGCCAACAAGGAAACACAAACAAGGCAGTTGGAATAATCGGAGACTACCTGGAATCCTTGAACATGTAATAGACGAATGTCAGTTTACAAATTGCCGGCATTGCATTCAGTTTGTTTTATCAGTTTGCAGCGTTTTCACCTGTTTGCATACGCTTCGCATTTTCTAATACAGTTTAAAAACCAAATGACATTTTTTAAAAATGAAATTAAAGGAACGTTTGATACGTTCACAATGCCCATAATATACCCTGCCGGTTTACCCCAACCCCTTTCTATGGACTTCTCCCTAAAGAAAATGAGAGGTCCACCCCTCCCATTTTTCATGTTTCATGTGGTTCCCAGTTGATTTAGTCTTTAATAAAAAAATAAAGTTTTCTACTTCGAAGTAATATTGCCAGATATTTATAGCCCGATGACTGTAGATCACCCATCGCATGGAAACATGTGCACCTAGATAGTGCTTTTAAATGAAGTACTAGAGAAAATGAGAGTTTTCAGAAATAAAAAATAAAAGGCTAATATTGACTTTTTCCATGGAATGTTTCATAGGCACAGAACAACAGTTGTTGGAATTGCGGGTGTTTCTTGGTGTTCTGCAAACTATTGTTGGTTCGCCTTTGTATTGTAGTCTGGGCATTTTTCAGAGTCTTTTCAATCTTTTGTATTTCGTCCTTTGGTGATTGCAACAGTCTGCAACACCAACAAACTACCGGAATTTCCGATCTGGTACTTGTAAGATCTATCCTGCAAGTAGAACATACCTTTTTATGATGTGTACTGGCGTATGAGAAGTAACTTTCACCGACAATTGTCCCATTTTCTATCGGCGCGTACTCAGGTCAAGGTGGATCAATTTCTCTTGACTTTCTCTTTGAATGAAGATGGGGTTTACAACTATTTGAAACACAAAATACTGCTAAAGATTGAACGAAAACGTTTAACATTCAGACTTAACTCATGTTAACTCTTGTTATAAAC